CTCTTTGGCAGTAGAGCAGCACTTTTTTGTCTAGTCAGTGAATTCTCATCCTGTACCTGAACAGCCGAAAACGGGGAAGTGCTTGTATGGTTATACACCTATAAGAGTTCATATAATGGATTGAAACTCTTCTATTCTGATGTTAGAATGGCAAGAACAGATCGATGATTGACCTCTTCCATTCGTTACTTTTTGTAGAAGAGGTTTAATTGTATAACATTGAACTGGTACAATATAGTAATCAACACAACAGTAATTAGCTGACTCTAAACATGATTTTTGTATAATTTCATACGTCTCCTAAACATGTCACCTGGTGAACTTGAAGATGAAGGTACATATTTGCATGGAAGAATGGAGTTTCCCCAACCTCAAGTACGGAAACTCGAGTTCTTGATGCAGTTTCCACGTTCAAAATTCTCCGCGTCCCTGTGTCAATCAGATTGTAACTGTGTCCCACGGAAACTTCTGATGAACGAATTCTCTAAAACCAAAACAAACATTCAAATTAGTACCTATCCTCCCCTCAATTCAAAGTTAATTATACTGTTAAAGAGAGATGTATTACGGTTAAGGCATCATCCATGCTCTCGGCTTCAAGCAAGTCTCTCGAAATGAAGTTCCGGCCAATCCCACCAGCCACAATCTCAGACTGAGACGGCGGTACAGAGTTCAGCGTAAATGCCTAGAGAGTACAATTTCATGAGTGATGGCTCCAGAGCAATTTATTGACTTGAACTGAAACCAGAAGTACAATTCAGGCAAAGTAAGTATCCAGAAGTACCAATCCAAGACTATTAAAGGCAAAGGCACAGCTTGGAAGCTCTCCTGCATATGTATAAGCAGTGAAACATAGTCCATTTGGAAGTATTCCCTTGATCAAATACCTGCAGCGGCATTTCATTTCAAGCCTGTAGCTTGCAGTATATCACGTGGGTCAAATAGACATTATTGTATTAACATTCAGAGGCTGCAAAAGAACTTACGTGTGGCCTATTAAAGCAACATTTGCATCCTCATTATGAGCTGCAATAGCCATGTAATCACTAACCACAAGTATATCAGAGCAATCATCATTGTTATCGTCCCTCGAACTCAAATCTGCTTCGGATTTCGGTATAAATGGAAGTATTTCCTTCCTGAAGTTGAGCAGCAAAATCTGGGCAAAAGAAAAAAAAACAATAATGATAAAACAAAACAGGAGACTTCAAGTTTTGACCATGATAAATGAACATTCCTAGCGTTTCATTAGCTTTTGAGCGCAAACATTACATCAAGAAATGGCACCCCACTTCCTTGAGCAGTTCCCAGAAGTTCATTCCAGTAATTGGGGAACTTTTTCTGGTTATTTTCAGATAAAGCTTTGATGAGCTTGTGGCCTTGAGGAGTTTGAGCAAATGGCAGCAGCCGGTTTTGAAGGATAAGGTCTGTGGCAAGCCTACTTCTTATCTGTCCGGAGAACCTGTGGCCTATCAAGAATCCCATGCTGTAGCCATCTGCACAAGGGCCAACTTCAAAGATTTCCAGTTGTTTCGCGTCATTGCCTGGCTTCTCCTCCATAGTATGATCAGGCTCTATTGCTGTGCTTGGCTTTGGGAGTCCGGATTAGCAGTTGCGGTTGGGCAAAACCATTCCCGCAATCTTGCCTCTACACTTTCCCCACCTAAACTCAATATGTATATGTTGCCTAACATTTTAGTGCCTAAAGATAACATCATATCTTTTCATGGCAAAATTATCCTTACTAAATTTCTTTACACAACCTGAAAATTCACCAAATGTCATTTGTGAATTGTTGCTAAATGCAGTACATATTTGGCCAAAAAATAAACAGCTCAAAATTATTTGATTCTAGCAAGTAGGAAAAAAAAATCATAAACTTCAGCAACCAAAAAGTTTAAAGAAGTTTTCATCCAATTTTGTTGATTAATATGTTGTGACTAATATTTTAGCAAACGATCCCCATGGACTCTCACTGGTTGTATTTCTGGGCCAAAAGGCCCAGGACAAATTCTTTTGGTCTGGACATTTCCAACAATCATGCTGGTCCAATTCGACTCCAATTATCTAATCCTGCTGAAGACAAATTTGTCGTAGCAATTTTCTGCAAATTTTCCTGGTTTCTGAACCGGGGGAAACTAGCTAAGCAACAGCTGTCAGTCTGGCTACAATTGATTTAGTTTCCTGCAAATACTTTCCATTTTACAATTAATTTTTGAAGCCATGTTTAGGAAATAGGAATTCTATGCTTTCCACGCTGCTGTTCGTGGGCCGACATGCAGTGCGAATTTCGTCGCAAAGGTATCCATCCATCCACATGAAGGCGGAATTTACCACCCCATTAAAACCACGTCTTTCTGAGTGGCGTGGTCTTTCTGAGCGGTCGAAAGTTCAACTCAATGCCTGGGTCGTAAAAAGGTTTCAGTCACATAAAGGCGTCACCTGACACTCCCAAAATAAGGCACGCCTTTTGGGTAGCTGAAAAAAGGCCAACAATAGGGTTTGATCTGGTTTGATTATTTTGAGTTATTATAGATTCTGTTTTTGGATAATTAGCTTTTGTGATATTATCGATTTTTTTTTTTGTATTCTGATTATAGATTTTGTAATGACAAAAATTGTTAAAATCTATAGTTATCCAAATAGTAGTTTTTACTGATTATAATTATTCTCCATAATCAGGTTTTATAATCAAATTTTGTAAAATTTAAAACAACTGAGAACAAGATCCATCATATCAAACAGATTTAGGGTTGGACTTCTACAAAGTTCATCTTCCTTCTTGTGCTGTTCTTGGAATCTTTTTTATCCCTCCTATTATTTTTTTTTTTTACCACACAACTATCTCAACCTGTGTTCTCTCCAAAAACATTTTGTTGTGAAGCTTGCTAAAACTTGTCATGATTTGTTGGGGAGGGTTGAATTAGGCGGTAATAAGGTGAAAAGGAATGTAAGTAGGAGGTCTTGACTTAAAAAAAAAAATATCATGATTATAATGATGAAACTGTAAGGCTAAAAATTAACTCAAAACAACATCAAGGAATCTTTTCACAAGAGAATATCCAACACCTAGCACAGCTTGCTTTCTGTAAATTATATCATCAAAATGAAACCAAAAAGAAAATCAGATGCCTATTCCATAATAAATTCCTTTTTTTTTTTGAGGAAATTCCATAATAAATTCCTATTTCATATTGTCCCACTCCCATCCTTGAGCAAGAGCCCGGATCGGAACAATCCCTTCTCTCTCTCTCTCGTTTATTGTTGTTCACACAATTGAAGGAGAATCATAAATGGCAACCATTGTTCATTAATGAATTTGAATGGTAGGGACTGATCAGTGTTGACTGTGTAGGAAAGCAGGGTGGTGGGCAGCCGCTGCCTGAGCTTGATCGTGTCTGTGTCCATAGGGAGTTCTAATGATCCTATTCATTGGAAAGTCGCCTTAGTTTATATCCAACAACAGCTTCTTCTTCAACAGTTATGTATTTAATCCGAAGAAAATCATGGTGAGACAGGCCCCAGTTACAGTTTGGCGTTTGCATGAACAACACTACTACTTTTAACTGGCAGCTATCTTGAATCCTTATGAAAACGTGTCTCCCGCTGGAAATTGGAACTTAAATTGGTGTAGAAACAAAAAAGGCCACTTCGATCTCATAATGTGTTACATCTGATGAAGTTACATCGTATCTGTTTTTTAATTCAAGATTAGGAAAAGTAATATATTATCATAGTAACAAGTAATAATTGACATAAAAAGTGAAAATACAAAATGTTTTAGATTAAAATGAATGAATGTCACTAGCTGGCTACAGCATTTGACTTGCGTTTTGTTTATCAAGCTCAGATTACTTTAGGATGTGTTCAACCAGCTACTAAATATTCCAGGTTTTAAGATGATCGATGCTGGACAGGCAGATGTCATTAAGATACTCGATATAACTTAATCTTCTTCTCCCAGTGGATTGGAGCATCTAGGGCCCGTCCAAAAGCTAAAGGAATATGTTTCAAGCTTTAATTAATTACTCGGACTTCTGCGTAGAATTAAGAGCAAATTTTGAACGTCAAATCGCACCCAGAGAACAACAAGGCTAAAGAAATTTCGAGGGAAGAGTAGCAGTGGGGGGAGCACTAGATTGAGTTTTAGGATAATTCATCGGGTACCCTTCGCAGATTTGACGCGTGGAAATTCCTTTCCCATTGTGCTATAATATACTATCATTGATGACAAAGGATAAGGGGACTTTGTGTTTGCTAAAGATGGTGCACTGATCAATTATAGATAGCACGAGAAAAAAAAAACTGGCATATTATTAAAAAAAAAACATATAATTTTTCAATTTCTAAGTGTTGCTTATTTCCATGTTTAGTGTGGAGTTGCTAGGCTTGAAGGGATGTAAAATAAGTCCAAATGGTGAAAACTTTTGTGTGGTGGAAGTTGTTGTTTCCTTTTGAGTAGATTGATTTGTGTAGCAGGTCATTTTCCCATGAAAATTCAGAAGACAGCAATGTGGGATGAAACAATTCGTAAAGTACTGCATTATAGCAAGTCTAATGCAGTGGCATTTCTGTTTCCCTTTGATCTCTAGTTGCTTTTTAGGGTTCCATTCAAATATTCTCAAGAGTTGCAGTGCAGCCAAGGCAGTAGCAATGACGCGAGTACCAAAATAACTCCCTTATAGTATTGGTAATATATTGACCCAAAATTTACATTTCCTCCAATAACATCGATGTAGCCCTATATATATATATATTACGAATAGAGCTCTTCCCTTAAAATATAATCATCTGAACCTACAATTTTACCTTTTTTTCATGTTAGTACATACACAAATTGTTGGCTAAGTATGAAAACAAGCTCCGATAGATAAGGGTCCGTTTGGATTTCTATTTTCTGAAGTCATTGTAAAAAAATATATCGACATACGCGAAGTAAAATAGTGATTGAGAAATGCGCTTATAGAAAATGTAAATTTTTAAAAAAAAAACGCAATCCAAACGAGGAATTGGCCCTAATTATAATGTCACCATCCATACAAACCATCTAAAAAAGTACAAACTTCAGGAATTGGCCCTAGTTATACAATGGATATTAAATTAATACACAAAGTCAAGTACACGAGAGCTGGTCTAATGTTATAAAGGATCAAGATCTACTGGAAAGCTATGCAAATTTAGACCAGTTAACCCCTAGTCAAGACACAGATTAGTGGTAAATTAACTGACTGCACCTTCTACAATATCACTATGTTTATAGCCTTGAGGCTGGGAGCATCCTCCTGTTCAGGAGCTCTGGATGATTTCTCTTCATGGGTCCAAGAAAGTACGTCCTTTGAAACATTCTGCCAATTTTTGGATGTAATGAATCCCTTGGCTCATTGGTCGATCTTCTTGAGAACTTGCAGCTAAAACAAGATTGTGGATCATAAAAAGGAAAAGGAAAAAAAAAATCAGAAGACACGAATAAATCTTGACATGCTTACCAAAGAAACCGAAAAGGATAAATCGAAGAGAAGTATACTAGCTGGTATAAATTTAGCACTAGCATATTTTCAAGGTATACCCACAGTTGGAACTTTGGATGGATGACGAGGATATTTTGGTAATTGCATCAGCTTCTGAGAGACATATCTGGGAACTTGATGCAATAAGTGGGCAATAACCAAGAAACGCATTGTCGTAGAGCGTTTACAGCATGACAAGAAAGTCACTTTGACGAAACCCTAAATCCATTGTTTCCCATCCACTGGGGTTATAGTTGAATTAACATTCAACATATGCCTAGCATACAAATGAAAGAAAAAGACAATCGACATGCGAAAATGGGTTAGTTGATTAGTGGTGAAGCTCTTCCCTAAACAACTAAATTCTCCATATAATAATGTTAGAAAGACAAACATCATGGTCACAGAATCTAGTCAAGATGTATAATCGGTTTCTTTAAACAAACCAAGCCCTCAAGCTCATGATGAGTCAAACATCATCATATGCAGAATATAGTACTCTATTAGTAATCTACACTTATCTTCTACTTTTGCCTGCTGTATGTTGAGGTGCAGAATAAGCAAAACATATCTACCTGCAAGACTAGAGCTGATGAAGACTGAAAAGGCCGAATCTCAGGCTAATATAGATGATAAAAGTAAAGGGAGCTCCCTTCAGTCCAAGTACAGGAAGCTTAAGAATCAATTTTTCTCCCGCATCATTCACTCAGTTACTGAGTACCAATCTTACTCAGCATTTGGATGAATGAGTCGGCAGCTAATTGAATCCTACTGCCACCCATGAGTGGACTGAAGAAAGCTCTCTTTTTTAAGGTATATCCAAACCTCAATCCAACCGCATCAAACTGCAAAAGCAACAAACAATTAAGCAAACTTAGCAATAAAACCTGAAAATGGGAGAGCCAAGCTTGTGACATGTGCAACTTGTACATTATATGTAGGACTGGAGATGCCCTAATTAGCCCAAAGCACGCACATAAACACACACGTATAGACAGAGAGAGTGAAAAGGAGAGAATGATCTCAGCGGTAGGTTCAAATATGAACTCCCCACGTATCAAGCCATGTGGTAGCTTATATGTTCCGGGACGGAGGAAAGGGCTTTATATAGCCAAAAGAGAGACGGTATTATGGTTATACAATATGTAATAATGGAAAGCAAGGCGGGGAGTTACTCATATTATTCTTTTCTTCTGTTTTTCTCCTTTTGCGAAGAACACTCCCCCTAATCTCATTGCCTTACTTTGCATATGCTTTAGCTTTGCGGGGATTTTAATATTAGTAGAAGGGAAACATATCTGTTTAAAAAAAATGAATTTAGACTGGAAGGCAATAGTATGGTATGATGGAATTGGAGCAGCGCAAGTAACTAGGCGCGGTAAGTTGGATGTACACACACCACAAGTACTGAGAATTATGCGTTGAATAAACCTCTGTATGTGCCTGTTTTCTGTTGTAATCCATCTTGTATGTGTGCGTGCATGATGTAATTTTGTCTTTTAATGAAATTATAAAGTTTTGTCAAAAAAAATATCAAACTGTATTTATGATAAAGTCCTCAAAATTGCATGTGTATAAACAATAACAAAAAGAAAATTTCAGGTGTCCGAAGAAAGAGTAAATGGTTACTGAAAATTCATCGTTCATGCAAACATAGCAAAATTAGTAACACTGACATATTTGTAAAAGCAAAATAAAGGCAGACTTTTAATCTTTTGCAAGGAACTTTCCCCGCGGGTTAAGAACTTTGCACTGTGCACTTGCTTCATTCCAACAGAGATCAGTATCTCAATACTATTAAATTGGATGATTAATAAGCCAACTTTGATCACTTTCAAGTTTACTAATGAAGACAAACTTCTATCTTATGCATACACTTGCATCGAGGCATCTCCTTTTAGCTCATTCTAGTAGAGCACAACACCTAAGTGAAAGATAAAGCAGACATCAAGCCATTGCGCTTGCTAGTTGCTCGATTCATTTAATTGAAATTCTACCTTTTCACATTGACTTATATTCTGATCCTTTAATTAGTATGGATTAGGAAAAGATGGAGAACCCGAAATGCTCCACTTTTCTGTTTATTCAACTCTATATGCCTGCATGAGCAGTGCTAAAGAAATCCTATAGATTCCTATGAAAAATCCGTATGTAGGATTTGTAGGCAAACGGGCACTCTTTTCACACGGTGGTATAATCCCAATTTGACAATATCAAGCGTAGGCTTTCTGCAATTACATCACATCATGTGCACACCGAATGATCGAGTTCTAATTAATAAACTTAAGAACGTGAAAAAGAAAAGAACAAATTAGTACCACTGATCACAACTTTAACCTCAATCTTTTTCAGGAAAAGGGAGATATATTATACTACGTTGAAAATCCTTTTCAATTTAAGAAATTCACATATATATATATATATATATATATATATTCTTGTATGATGCATCTAGTGCTATGAATCATCCATTGGTGTATTTAGTATCATATTTTTTTTAGCCTGAACTTAGATACGATGTATACTCCTACCACAGAAAAGAACGCAAATTAAATAAAAGCACTTGAAGTTGACGCACCTCCCGCCGGTATATGTATCTTTTTTCTTTTTCTTAAAATCCTTTTAAACATGTAATCTGAAAATTTTTTATTATCCAAAAGCCAAACCGAAATAGGAAAAGGGTGTCCAAGGATTGTTATAATTCAACTATGGATAATATATATGTTATTTTTCCACTCTATAAGATGCTGAGGTTTTTTCTGGTGTCGGCCTCTACTGATCGAAGAGACTCCTCAACCTATTGATATTGATGCCGCCAACGAATCAAAGATTGAAAAAATAGATTAAGAGAATCCATCATGAGGAAAAGTTGCTGATCAGATGGTGGACAGAAGTTTTGCGAGGATAATCACCATATATGTTGGCAGAGTTGGAAAACATCACCATATGTAACTGATAGGAACTAATACCTACAACCTTTTTCAATTGCTTTCGGTTTCCTGCATCTTGGGTGGATGATGGACCTATTAACTTGATTATTATAAAATATATATATATATATATATATATATATATATATATATTTCTCCCTGATAGAGTGAAATGATAGGAAATAGAAGAAAAAATGGAAGCTGGAATGAAGATGAGAAACTCAAAACAACTTTCCCCAGGGATAATCTGGTAAGCCTCCCTCTTTTGTTACAACTTCCAAACCAGAATAAAGAAGGAAAATGAGCTGAATATTTCTGGAAACTCGAAAAATTGTCAAGTTTACTACAAAGAATATAAAGAAATGAAAGGAGCCAGTTGTAGCGGGAGGGATCGTAGGAAGAGCCGATAAGACTAAGGGATAATTGCATAAACCTCCGCTGAAGTTTTTGACACACTAAGGCCTTGCTTGGATTGAAGGTTTTCGTCGGAAAATATTATCGTTTTCCGTGATCACATTTCCCTATCACCTTTTTCCCTCACATATATCAAATCGCTACAGTAATTTTTCCATAAAAAATGACGGAAAATGCAATCCAAACACAACCTAACACTCACCTCCTTTGCGGTTTAAAAAATAGGACTAACTTCTCTTTAGAATAAATTGGCGCCTATTGCTGATAAAAGATTGTGGGAATTTACCTTTATATCCTAATTATTTGAAGAAATCTAGAACCAAGTTTTTTGCCAAGTTTATTTATTACAAGTTTTTTTAAAATTTTAATTACAGTAATTTTAAAAAACTTTTCAAAATTTTTGAACTATACATTTCAAAAAATTTTTTAAAAACTTCTACAGTAAGTTACAGTAAAATTTTAGACAAACATCTAAAAAATTCACCTTCCAAACGAGACCTAATGAATGAATTTTGCAAAAGAAACCTTCTTGTTTCTTGTCAATAAATTAAATAATTAATTAAACTAATTAAATTACCTGTGAGTTCTACTACGTTTAGACTTCCAACAGGTTTTAGGCAATATAAACATGGCTAACCAATGGTGCCAATTGTGGAGGAAAATGGCGCCATAAATTGGCTCCAATTTGTGAATGACAGGTCGTGAGATGACAGGGGGTGTAGCTGTTGGTTATGCTCTTGAGATGACAAGGGCTAAAAGCTGTAGTATCTTTAGAGTTATACATAACAGAAGGATGTTGGTTTTGCTTAGTTCATGAGAGCTAAAACAATTGTGAGAGAAGAAACAAAATAGGCAACTGCAAACAAATTTGCATCTTCTTCATAAAATTTGCAAGAATCACACCTGTACAGGTAAATGACCCTTGCCATTGTCACTTTAAAACAGAAAATTTCATGTTAGCTGTTGTATGATAAAATGTCAAATCTAACTTCAGTGAATTTATGGGTTATCAATAATGGAATATGAATGGATGATGTATCATCACTTTAACACTTATTGATGATTAATGGAATATGTTATTTAGGATGCGTTTGATAAAATTAAAATTTGAAATCTAAAGTTTGAATCCATTAAATTATTGAATTATTAAACCATAAATATAATATATTTGACTGCATATCACATTAAGTGATAAGTGAATAGTTTATCATTTATTTTTGGGAGTAAGTTTTGCTTACAAAATTCAATGCCACTTAATTAATTCAGATATTCAATTTTTCATTACCAAACGCATCTAAATATATTAAAATCTGAATCTATTAAATTTAAGTGCTGAATTGAATAATCAAACAAGGTCTTAATTCATGATGCTTCAGGTGTTTTATGTGAACTAAAAGAGTTTACACTTACATCCTTTGAAGTTTATTAATTGCTAATTGCTTTGTGTTGTTTTGTCATTCTTTCATTAATACTACTTGGCATGCAGCACAAATGATAAATTTGATACAAATTTCTCATATCATTCCTTAAAATAATATTTTAATAGCACTTTTTCTAGTATTAACCGAATATACAACAGAATCAGTAAGTTTAAGGGAGGTAAGTACTATTTTTTAAATCAGGTGTGATTCTTGCAAATTTTATGAAGAAGATGCACAAATTTTGTTTGTTTACAATTGCCTATTTTGTTTCTTCTCTCACAATTGTTTTAGTTCTCATGAACTAAGATCTCTCGGGGTTGGCTCGGTTGGTGCTGGGGTGCCTCTTCACGTCCTGGCATCGGGTGATCGCGGTTCGACCCCTTCTAACGTCTTGTGTCTTCTGGGGGGGTGGGGGCACAAGTGGAGTGGGAATAATCGGGTCCGAGAATATAACCTGTGAATCTCGAATACCCACTTTTGTCCGAAAAAAAAAAAGTATTATTTTTTAAATCACAGGAGAGAGGTGAGTGCTAATGTAAAAAAGCCACGAGAGGTTTCTGCAATTTTCCCTAAGACTAATGATGACAAAGAGGAAACAAAATTGGTAGTGTGTGTGTGTGAGTATTGTGGGCAGAGATCACATCAGATAGGCAGCGCCAGCAGTCACTACTGAATTCCGTCTTGTCATCCCAAAAGCCTGCCTGCGCTCTGATGCCTTCAGTTCGACAGATCTCATCTCATCATCTCACCCGGTCCGTGTCTCCAACTCCTTCCATCTCAAATTACAGACGCTAATTGCTTAGTTTAGTTTGTCAGAGGATTTGATCACTATCAAGTTTCAGGACAGCCATAAAATAAAAGGAATGATGAATTTACACCCATAATGTATTAATAATGACTCATACCATTAGCATCTGCCTTATGTAAACCAAATTAATTATTCTCAAAGGATTTAGAATGCTTGGAAGATTATTCATCCAATTTGTTCTACAGTAATTCAGAAAATTCTAAAGTAGTTGATGTGTTACACCAGTTCAATCTGTCGACATAATCGCTCTTTGATGTGATGTATACTAATAAAAGGATGTAGTAAATCCGACTTTAAATCAAATTCTTTCCAATCATTCACATCATCTCTGATCTCATGATCCAGCAATGCGGACACCCCAACTGCCCCCTCAGCCAATTTTCTCTACCTCATGTTTTGCCAATTGTAACTTATAATTTGTGGATCAACCTTTTTAGCTTTCCCGAATATCCTCCTGAGCACCAATAAGCTCCCCCATAAAGCGTTTCTTTCTTGTCATACACAAAGTATATATGAATTATGGAGAATGTTTGTTTATCCGACAAATAAAAAATTATCTTCACCCCATGTGTACTTGTTGGCCACAACACACGAAGAGAGCATACATGTTTCCCTTTAGAGTATGATCTAGCTGGTTGCAGATCTTCTTTAACGAAATAAATACGCCTTTCAAAATTATTATTAATAATTGAAATTTGGATTTAGTAATGTGAAAGTTTGAATGAAAGAAGAAGCATTTTAGAGTATCTTGAAACAGTTTTCGATTACAGA